AAGGGGTGGGACTCTTCTGTTTTTATTTACTCCCTGAGGCTTTGCTCACGTGTCTACACTCGACTTTTAGAAAGTTGACGAAAAGCCATGGAGTGGGAGCAGATAACCTGATTGAAGCCCGTTTTGTTCTTTCAGCCACTAAGCAGTTTTTGTCGAACCCATCCCCCCCATTTTATTTTTTTGCTTCTCAACTTTCATTAGCTCATGAATTTCGAGACTGCTGAGACGTTGCTGTTCACCTAAATTAAATTCAACGTTTAAAAAACTGGACCCAGAGATGTTAGATGTGAACGTAAAGCGCAAAATTGAGTGATTTTGTAATTTTTCTCCCCACCGGGATTCAAGCCACACCGGCCATCCTTCCCCTCCCCCTCCTCCTCCACGGTAGGTGGCGACCACAGAGGCTTTTCCAGCCCGTGTCGCTGGCAAGAAAACTTTCCAAACAGCCAGTCTTTTGATGTAGAGCAGTCCCCCCTTATCCGCGGGAAATACCTTTCAAGACCCCCAGTGGATGCCTGAAACCCCAGATAATACCAAACCCTGTATACACTGTTTTTTCCTATACATACATACCTTCCTCCTTAATCAACTTCTTCAACTCTACCGGAAATGTGGCAGCAGCTTCTTCAACAGCAGGCACAGCCTCTGCAGGAGTTTGTACCTTTCTCAGTCCAAACCTATTCCTGAATCTGTGTAACCATCCTTTACTCGCAGTGAATGGCTTGGTGTCTCTCCTTTCAGAGGATCCCTTGCTGAAGTCCTCGTATAGGCTCAGTGCTTTCTGGCGCAACACAGTGCTGTCAACCGGAACACATTTTCTGTTCATGTCTTCTACCCACAAACTTAATGCCTTTTCCATCTTAACTAAGCACTTATCACGTACTGTAGCTGTAACTTTTGCAGTTTGAGGTGCCACAGCAAAACTAGCACGAATTTCTTTTTCCTTCTTCACAATTTCCCGGATAGAAGATTCGTTCTTACTGTAGATTTTAGCAACCTCAGCATAGGATTTTTTTTCTTTCCTTATTAAGTCAAGAATTTTCACCTTTTCACTTAAAGGAAGCACTTTACGGCTTCTCTTTGGTATATTTGAATTGCCAGCATCACTGCTCTTGCCCTTTGGGGCCATTATTAAGTTAGAAAAAAAAAGGTTACTTGAACACCAGCACTGCGATACTGACACAGTGGATCTGATAACAGAGACAGCTACTAAGTGACTCATGGGCGGGAGTGTCTACTGCGTGGAGACGCTGGACAAAGCATGGTGTGTGTGTGCGTGTGTGTGTGTTAGAAAGTGAGTTGTTAGACTAAAGTTTATATGGTCAAGATTACCCTTGTCATAAAAAATTTGGGAGATAGTCCTTTGCTTCTATTAATCTGTATAATACAGTGGAATTTTGCTGCTGCTGCTGCTTCATAAGCAACTCCAACTTCATTGATGTTGAAGCTGCTCCTAAAACTCTTTTTGTTTTTGTTTTTGTTAATTTTCACCCGATAATATTTTTTTCCATTGATTTTTTAGAAAAGAGGAAGGGTGGGGAGGAGAGAGAGAGCGAGAAACATCAATATGAGAGAGACACACTGATTGGTTGCCTCCTCCACATACTCCCATAGTGCTGGGATGGAACCTGCAACCCAGGTACATGCCCTTGACCGGAAATTGAACCCGAGACTGTGTGGTGCCTGGTCAGATGCTCTAACCACTGAGCACACTGGCCAGGGCATGCTCTTAAAACTCTTAAATCCTAAAGCAGTTTCTAAAACTTTAGCTGGCTTTGAATTGCATCTAGAGGGAAAGCTGGCCCTTTGTGGACAGTGAACAGTATATGGAACGGTGTGTGGTTTAAACAGCATGTGGAAACCAAGCCTTTTTCTCAGTGTACTGATATTGATAGGTGTAACTCTCAAATTTATGTCTAAAGCAGCGATTTTCAACATTTTCTTTTTTTTTTTTTTTTATGAATTTTTATTTATTTTTTTGTTACAGATATTTTACCTTTTTACCCCATTGGCACCCCCCACCCCACCTCCCCTCCACCCTGTCCCCGGCTTAGTTGTCCATGTCCATTGGTCATGCATACATGCATATAAGTTCTGTGGTTTATCTCTTCCCACCCCCCCACCCCCCGATTTTCAACATTTTCATCTCATGGCGCACATAAGCTAATTACTACAATTCTGCAACACACCAAAAAACATTTTTTTGCCAATCTGACCAAAAAAAAAATATTTTGATTCATTCACACCGGATGTCTATTGTGTTAGCTATTGTCCTTTTGTGTGTGTGTGTGTGGTATGTGCCCCTAGCAGGAACTGAACCTAGAACTCTCTGGTCCGTGGGCCGACGCTCAACCGCTGAGCCAAACTGGCCAGTGCTTTTTTTGTTGTTTTTTGTTTTTTTTATCCTCACCCAAGGACATTTTTTCATATTTTGTTCAGAGTGGGATGAACAGAGAGGAAGAGATAGAGAGAAACATTGATGTGAAAGGGACACATCGAGTGGTTGCCACCCGCACGACCCAACCAGGGCGGGGAGCAAACTGCAACCAAGGCACATGCCCCTAGTGGGAATTGAACCCAGGTCTCTCCGGACTGCAGGCCGATGCTCTAACCACAGAAAACCAGCCAGGGCTGTTGTCCTTTATTTATTGGACAATCTGAGTGAAAAGAGGTCAGTTCCCTGACTAAATAGCCAGGTATTGCATGTTTTAAAAATTCTTGGGGTACACCAGTTGAAAATCACTAGTCTATAGTTATTAAATATACTTTTTTAGTCTTCCCTAGAGCCTGGCTCACTACCTTGGCCATTATTGTTATACTACCACAAATTGCTATTTGTTAGCCAATTTCTCCCTCCCCTCATTAGTACAGATGCTTTGTTAATTGTGATAATTGTTATAAACCATTTTGGATACCATCTCTCAGCACAGCCGCTTGTTTTTCCCACACAGGATCAAATTGATGTCTTTTGGGTTGAGCAACAGATAAAAGAAAAAAAATCATTGATTTGTGTTTAGGAATGGTATAGTAAGAAATTCTCCTTTGTTTAATTCAACTTACTTTGTTTAGAATGACATTCAATGTAAAAATATATGTGTACCAAGAGTGAGATTACAGTCCAAACGGTGTGGCTCAGTGGATTGAGCGTCGTCCCATTGACTGAGAGGTCCCAGTTTGATTCCAGTCAGGGCACGTGCCCAGGTTGCCTGGTCTATCCCCAGTAGGGGCATGTAGGAGGTGGCTCATTGATGTTTCTCCCTCATGCCAATGTTTCTATCTCTCCCTTCCTATCCAAAAAAAAAGAAAGAAAGAAAGAGAAAAAGAAGGAAAGAAGGAAAGACTGAGATTGCCAAAAGAGCAAATGAGCAGCTCTTTACTCTTCTCACTTAAGACAAAGTGCACAGAGGCCACAGGTGGCAGAATCTTGCATGTTATTTATTTCAAAATATTCCAAATATTTATCTTGTTTATGTTTAACCTAGTGTATGCAATCCTGCAGATGAGTGTTCATATAGTGTGATACTTCCATTCTATTGTATACTTGGGATTCTAAGCCAGACTGGTCTAGGCCAAGCTAAAGATGGATCTAGACCAAATGTAAGCTCTTCTGCCAACTCAAATTCATTCTCACATGGACTCATGTCGACTCCTTTTATTTATTTATTTATTTACTTACTTAATTATTTACTTATTTATTTATTATCATCACCTGAGGACATTTTTCCATTTTTTGTTCAGATAGAGTGGGAAGGAGAGAGAGGAAGAGAGAGAGAGAAACATCAATATGAAAGGGACACATTGTGTGGCTGCCTCCCGCAGGACCCAACCAGGGCCGGGGACAAACTGCAACCGAGATACGTGCCCTTAGCAGGAACCGAACCCGGGTCTCTCTGGACCGCAGGCCAACGCTCTAACCACTGAGCCAAACCGGCCAGGGTGACTTTTTTTTTTTTTTTCTTTATTGATTTTAGGGAGAGAAAGGGAGAGGGAGAGAGAGCTAGAAACATCAGTGAGAGAGAACATTGTTTGGGCCGCCTCCTGCATGCCCCCTACTGGGATCAGGCCCACAACATGGGCATGTGCCCTGACCAGAAATCAAACCAGTGACCTCTTGGTGCATGGGTCAAGGCTCAACCACTGAGCCACACCAGCCAGGCTTGTTGACTGCTTTTATTTTTTATTTTTTTAATCCTCACCTGAGGATATTTTTTTATTTATCTTCAGATAGAATGGGAGGGAGGGAGATAGAGAGAGAAACATTGACGTGAGAGGGACACATCAGCTGGTTGCCTCCTGCATGACCCCGACCAGGGCCTGGGGCAAACCCCAAGCGATGTATGTGCCCTTGACTGGAATCGAACCTGCGACTTTTGGTCCGCGGGCCGACACTCCAACCGCTGAGCCAAACCAGCCAGGGCTTGTCAGCTGCTTTTGAAAAAACAAGGGCTCTGGCCTTGTTTTTTAGTCTTGTTGACTGCTTTGAAAAAACAAAGGATCTGGCCCTAGCCAGGTAGCTCAGTTGGTTAGAGCGTCCTCCCAATATGCCAAGGTTGTGGGTTTGATCCCCAATCAGGGCACATACAAGGAGCAACCAGTGAATGCATAAATAAGTAGAACAACAAATTGATGCTTCTCTTTCTCTCTCTTCTTTCCTCTCTCTAAAATCAATTAATTTAAAAAATAATTTAAAAAAACAAAACGGATCTGGTAATATTTGAATGTCTTCACCAGTCCTGAAGAATAATCACCTCTCCTTGGGTTTTCAATACTTGGTGTCACAAGTGGGCCTTCTTTGTTATCACATAACACATCCAGAATAGGAACCCCTGACCACCCATGCTGACAGAACCACCCTTATACCACTTGGTCAAGGTCATTGTTGTTGAGATCATTTAGTGCTCCTTTTATTTTATTTTATTTTTTAATTTTATTTTATGTACAAAGAGATAGCTTTCTGTGGTAAGGTAGATGTCTTGGATGGCCCATTCATGGAAGTTCAATTAGTCCAACTTAATGAAACCGAATTCCTTTGCGTACTGACCGAAGCGCTGGTGGCACATATTGAGGCCATGTTTCCAGATCAGACCATGCTGGTTTGAGCAGACGCAGCAAGAACGGGAATGCTGGCCGAATTTTCTCCGATGGCTCCAGTAGAGTTGCTGGTGACCCATCTTGTTCGCTCAGAAGCAACAAGGCAAAAAGGAAACTTTAGTGCTCCTTTTAATGATGTTCTTTTGCATGACTGGTGTGGCTCAGTGGTTGAGCATTGACCCATGCACCAAGAGGTCACCAGTTCTATTCCCGGCCAGGACACATTCCCAGGTTGTGGGCCAAATCCCCAGTTGGGGCATGCAGGAGACAGCCCAATCAATGTTCTCTCTCACTGATGTTTCTATATCTCCCTCACCCTTCCTCTCTCTCTAAATTCAATAAAGAAAAAAATGTTTTTTTAATAAAAATAAAGATGTTCTTTCCCTTTTTTTTTTTTTTTTTTTATCCTCCCCCAAGGACATTTTTTTATATTTTGTTCAGATAGAGTGGGAGGGGGAGAAAGAGAGAGAGAGAGAGAAACATTGACATGAAAGGGACACATCGAGTGGTTGCCACCCACACGACCCAACCAGGGCCAGGGACAAACTGCAACCGAGGTAGGTGCCCTTAGCAGGAACCGAACCCGGGTCTCTCCAGACCGCAGGCCGACGCTTTAATGCTGAGCCAAACCAGCCAGGGCTAAAGATGTTCTTTCAAGCCCTGCCTTGTTTGGCTCAATGATTAGAGTGTCAGCCCGTGGATCAAAGAGTCAATGGTTCGATTCTGGACAAAGGCATGTATCTTGGTTTCAGTTCGGTCCCCAGCCCTGGTTGCAGTGATGTGGAAGGCAACCAATTGATGTGTTTCTCCCACATCAATGTTTCTCTCTCTCTCTCTCTCTCTCTCTCTCCCTCCCTCCCTCCCTCCCTCTCACTCTATCTGAAGACAAATGGGAAAATATCCTCAGGTGAGAAATAAAATAAAAAAAAGAGCCTGGCAGGTGTGGCTCAGTGATTGAGCATCGACCCAAGCACCAAGAGGTTGTTGGTTCATTTCCTGGTCGGGACAGATGCCCAGGTTGTGGGCCTGATCCCCAGTGGGGGACATGCAGGAGATAGCCCAATCAATGTTCTCTCTCACTGATGTTTCTATCTCTCTTTCCCTCTCCCTTCCTCTCTCTAATATCAATAAAGGAAAAAAAAAATTTTTTTTTATCCTCACCCGAGGACATTTTTGCATGTATCTTCAGATACAGGGGGAGGGAGAGAGGGGGGAAGAGAGAGAGAGAGAGAAACATCGTTGAGAGAGAGACACATGGAGTGGTTGCCACCCACATGACCCCAGCTAGGGCCAGGGACAAACTGCAACTGAGGTACGTGTGCCCTTAGCGGGAACCAAACCCGGGACTCTCCAGTCCGCGGGCTGATGCTATATATAACCAGTGAGCTAAACTGGCCAGGGCAAAAAAAAATTTTTTTAAATGTTCTTTCAAATCCAAACTCAATAATCTTTTTGTCACTCTGTCATATAGTTTAAATTGACCAAAACCATAGTTGAGACCCTCTTGACACAATTTTTTACAACATATCCAGTCTTCATGAATACTAAACAGATCTTTTTTTCCATAACTGCTTAATGCAGGCCCAATATCTTCTGGGTTCAATTTCTTGTTTTTTCTTTACAGTATACATAGTACAGTATAGAGAATGGAATGTAAAATATATAGCTATCATTTGTAAGATAGCAGTTTTGTCTTTTAGATCAATGTTCTCAGTTAAGATTTGTATGCCCAGTTCCCACCACAGGGGTTAGTAACATCTTAGCTGTTAAATGGTGTCTGCACTCTTGGAGGTAGCCTACACCTTTGTTGTTACTGCAAGTATGCTTTCTTAACTGATTATAGAACACTGTTTTTTATTGTTGTTTTTTGTTTGTTTTTAATCCTCAACCAAAGATATTTTTTCATTGATTTTTTTTTTTTTTTTTTTAGAGTTTGAGGAAGGGGGGAGAGAGAGAGACATGTGAGACAAACACATCAATTGGTTGCCTCCCACATGACCCTGACTGGGCCAGAGATTGAACCTGAAACTGAGTATCTCTGTCACATCAGTGTTTCTCTCTTTCTCTCTCTTTCCCCCTCCCACTCTATCTGAAGATAATTGGGAAAAAATATATCCTCAGGTGAGGATTAAAAAAAAAGTAAAATCTCTGTAGTATTATCCTTTTTTTTACACTTCAGATTTCTTTTTTTTTTTTTTTGGTACGTGCCCCTAGCGGGAACCGAACCCAGAACTCTCTGGTCCGCAGGCTGATGCTCCAACCGCTGAGCCAAACCGGCCGGGGCTCTATAGTATTTTCTTTGCCCTAAGGATTTGGTGGATCTGATGATATGTAAATGAAAATAGTTATAAACTCGCCCTGGCCGGTTTGGTTCAGCGGTTAGAGCGTCGGCCTGCGGTCCAGAGAGACCCGGGTTCGGTTCCCGCTAAGGGCATGTACCTCGGTTGCAGTTTGTCTCCGGCCCTGGTTGGTCGTGAGGGTGGCAGCCACTTGATGTGTCTCTTTCACGTCGATGTTTCTCTCTCTCTCTCCCTCCCACTCTCTCTGTACAAAAAATGGGAAAATGTCCTCGGGTGAGGATAAAAAATAAAAAAAATAAATGAAAATACTTATAAACTCTTAATTAAATGTTATATAAATGTTAAATGTAATAACTTAGTGGTGGCTCAGAATTTAAAGCTTTAGCCCTAGCACCAAAGGGTCTCAGGTTCAATTCCTGGTCAAGGGCACATACCTGGGTTGCAGATTTGATCCCCACCCTTGGCCAGAAATCGAACCCAAGACCCTTTGGTCCAAGGGGTAAACACATTGAGACAAAATGGCCAGGGCTAATTCTTTTTTTTTTTACTTTTTTTTTTAATCCTCACCCAAGGATATTTCCCCATTTATCTTCAGATAGAGTGGGAGGGAAAGAGAGAGAAACATTGATGTTTGAGAGACACATTGATTGATTGCCTCCTGTGCAACCCCAACCCAACCGAGGTATGTGCCCTTGACCTGAATTGAACCTGAGACTCTTTAGTCTGAGGGCCCACACTCTAACCACTGAACCGAACCGGCCAGGGCTTAACTTCTTTTTTTAAACTTATTTTTATGGTTGATTATATTATCCCATTGACCCCCTCCTCCCTTAACTTTTTTTAAAATTGATTTTTAGAGAGAGAAGAAGGAAGAGAAAGAGAACATTGCTTTGCTGTTCCACTTGTTTATGCATTCATTGGTTGATTCTTGTACGTAACCTTGGTGTTTTGGGACAATGCTCTAACCAACTGAACTACCTGGCCAGGGCAGTTTCTTGATTCTTTATCTTTGGATATTTACCAAGCCTTTCCTTTTTTTTTTCTAGTGAATCATAGCAATCCTTTTAACCCCCTTCAAGACCTATGTTGATTATAATTAAGGTAGATACACTTGGGAAAGTTTTCATCTAAGAATAGAGAATGTTTGAACAATGGATTAGAGGGGGAAAAAGAAGCCAATAATAACGATACTGTTCAAATGTGAAATTACCCCACAATCAGTGTATCAAACTTTGTTTTTTCCAGCAGTGGGAAAGTGTTCAATTATCCTCTCCCTTCCTCCTGAACCTAGGAAGGGGGCTGGCCAGGCCCCAGGTACACTTTAGAGCCTGGCCAGCCCCCTTCCTAGGTTCAGGAGGAAGGGGGCTGGCCAGGCTCTAAAGTGTACCTGGGGCCTTTGACTGACTTCATTCATTCTAGCAAATTGTGCTCTTCAATGCCAAATGAACTCAGATTGGCCCCTGGGTAATGAGTAAATGAGGAGCATCAGGAACAAGCCTGAACACCTATTAAATTTTGAAAAGTCTAAAAAACCCTCTCTGTCCTCCAGAAATGTATAATAATGGCTAACATTTATTGAGCATTCCTTTGGTGCCAAATGCTGTGCTCAACGCTTAATAGATTATCTCATTGCATGCTGACAATGCCCCATGGTAGGTGCTTAGAACCTCCCCGTACAATAAAAAGGTTCAGAAAGGTTAAGCTACTTAGCCAAGGATACACAGAGGGCAAAATCCAGATTCTAATCTATGTGTCCTAGCCTGAATTCTTAAATACTGCTATTTTTAGGCTACAGGCAGATATAGTAAATTAATCAAATACAAAGTACACTCAGGTAAAAGTCAATACATAATAGGAGAAGGTTGAAGATGAAGCAGGAACTTTTTCATGGAGGAGGTAAATTTGCAATTAATATGAAAGGCTATATGGGATTTTAAAAAATAAAATAACAAGAGAGGAACTCTCTTAGCCTTACTTCTAATCAAAAGCAGCCTTTCAGAAAAAAAAAAAAAAATTATGTTTATAGTGGGCATATACCTATACTTTTTAAAAAGGTATAGAAATGAGCTCATACTATGCAAATTATTCTTATCAGTCCCTAAAGATGGACATTTAGGTTGTTTCTTCTATTTTTGTTACGTTATTGCTTGGCATGTTTTATGAGTATATTTTTAAAGCAAATTCTTAGTAAAATTATCAAAAAGCATCTGTGCACCTAAAATTTTGATGCACATTGCCAATTTACCCTCCAAAAAATTGCACCACTGTTTATTCTGGTGGAAATAGCATTTTTAAGCAGTTTTTATATGCATATTAACTATGCAAAGTTGGGCATCTTTTCACACTTTTATTAGCCATTTGCATTTATGTTTCTGTAAACAATAGGCATTTACATTTTCACAATTAGATCCTATGCGTTTTCCTCATATTCTGTTGTATGAGTGCTTTATAAATGAAAGAAAATCGCCTTTTGTTTGTTATGTGTGTTACAAATATTTCCCCAGTTTGCCTTTTGACTGTGACATCTTTTTTATGTTCTTGTTATACTGGTTTCATTTTTACATGGTCAGAGTTATCCATTTTTTTCTTTATGTCTTCGGTGTTATAAAATCAATGGTGAGAAAAGCCTCCCTTACACCAAGATAGATACAGAGAAAGAGATTGAGACATATATTTATTATATGTATGCATATACACACACATTCTTTTCACAGCAAGATTTCTATATTTCTATCTGTAGCATCTTCCTAGTTTGTGTGGGCTGTCAGGGGCTTTCCATTTCAGGGGCCCTTTAAAGTTCTGCCTCAAATAGGCCACCCGCTCCCGTCCAAGGGCAGACTTTGTTGCTGTCCCTCTGGGCGATGGGCGGCCTCCGAGGACTCACTGGGCTTCCAGCACAGAAGCCGCAGGCTCATCACTTCCCTAGCCAAGCGGGGCCATCGTTTTCCAGCCGCAGCGGAAGTCCTCCTCCGCCTTAACCCGGAGCCGCAGGCTCGGGACCCAGCCTTAGCGGCTTCTTCGGTGCCTGGGATTCCGCTGGTCCTGGGCATCCTAGGAAATCGCAGAGAACGTGGCCGAAGGAGTGTTTTGGGGGGGAGGGGTACTTACGTACTGGGTGAGGGAGGTGGGAAAAAGGACCCACGATCCTCCTGAATCCTGCTGCAATCTCGGGCACCTGGCCAAATAGGGAAATCCCTCCTTAGGGATTTCCAAACAGCTTTGAACAAAAGCCGGGTTGGACCTTCTGACAATTCTGTTCCTCAGTATAAACTGTGAATAGATATTCTGATTTTATAGTTCAGTCTTGGCGACTTGCTCAGGAGTTAGCCTCCCCAGTCCACCTCCCAGTCCTGCTGAGACAGACAGCATCATTGACCTAAATAGTGAAAACATACTCTTTCAACCTCTAAAAGAGAAAGTCTCAGTTTGGTATGGATGTTGTCTTTGTTTTATTGTAGTAAAATATATAACAAAGTTTATTATTTAAACCATTTTTAAGTGTACAATTCAATGGTATTAAGTACATTAACAGCCCTGGCCGGTTTGGCTCAGCGGTTAGAGCATCGACCTGCGGTCCTGAGAGACCCGGGTTCGGTTCCCGCTAAGGGCGTGTACCTCGGTTGCAGTTTGTCCCCGGCCCTGGTGGGTCGTGTGGGTGGCAGCCACTCGATGTGTTCCTTTCACATCGATGTTTCTCTCTCTCTGTTCCTCTCTCTCCCTCCCACTCTACCTGAACAAAAAAATGGGAAAATGTATGTCCTCGGGTGAGGACAAAAAAAAAAAAAAAAGTACATTAACAATGTTGTGTAACCATCACCGCTATCTATTTCCAAAACTTTGTTCATCACCCAACAATAACTCCCACTCATTAAGCAATAATTCTCCATTATCCTCTCTCCCCCTGCTCCTGGTAATTTTTATTCTACTTTCTGTCTCTTTGAGTTCCCTTAATCTAGATACCTCATAAAAGTGGAATCACAATATTTGTCCTTTGTGAGTGGCTTATTTCATTAAGCATGTCTTCAATGTTACATGTAGCATGTATCAGAACTTCATTCCTTTTTATGGCTGAATAAAATTCCATTGTGTATATATATATACACACACCATATTTTGTTTCTCCATTCATCTGTTTGGGTCATTTCTACCTTTTGATTAATATGAATAATGCTGCGATTAACATTTTATATACAAGTATCTGAGTCCCTGTTTTTGTTTCTTTTGGATATATACCTGGAAATGGAATTGCTGAGTCATATGGTAGATAATTCTGTTTAGTGTTTTGAGGAACCACCAAAAGGTTTTCCACAGTGGTTGCGCCGTTTTACATTCCCACCAGTAATTCCTGAGGGTTCCAATTTCTCCACATCCTCACTAACACTTTTGATCTGCTATCTTGTTAGTATGTGTGTGTGTTTAATAATAGTCATCGAGCCCTCGCTGGTTTGGCTCAGCGGTTAGAGTGTCGGCTTGTGGTCTGGAGAGACCTGGGTTCGGTTCCCACTAAGGGCACGCATTTCCGTTGCAGTTTGTCCCCAGCCCTGGTTGGATTGTGTGGGTGGCAACTACTTGGTGTGTCCCTGTCACGTCGATGGTTCTCTCTCTCTTCCTCTCTCTCCTTCCCACTCTATCTGAACAAAAAATGAAAAAATGTCCTTGGGTGAAGATAAAAAGATAAAAACAAAAAATAATAATAGCCATCAAAGCCGGCTGGTGTGGCTTAGCGGATTTAGCATCCTTTCATGGACTGAGAGGTCCTGGTTAGATTTCCCGCCAGTGCACAAGCCCAGGTTTCGGGCTAGATCCCTGGTAAGGGGCCTGCAGGAGGCAGCCAATTGATGTTTCTCACATCAATGCTTTTATCTCTCTCTAAAAAATCAATAAAAACATTTAAATAAATAAAAAATAGCCATCCTAGTGAGTATGAAATTATTTTATTGTGGTTGTTTTTATTTTATTTTCCCTAATGACTAATGAAGTTCGTGCATCTTTACAGGTGCTTATTGGCCATTTGTATATCTTTGGAGAAATTGAGTCCGTGGTCCAATTAAAAAAAATTTTTTTTCCCTTCATTTATTCTAGAGAGAGAGGAAAGGAGAGAGAGAGAGAGAGAGAGAGAAACATTGATGAGAGACATTGATTGGCCGCCTCCTACATGCCCCCTACTGGGGATCACACCCACAACCTGAGCATGTGTCCTGACGCAGAATTGAATGAGGGACCTCCTGGTGCATGGGTTGACGCTCAACCACTGAGCCACACCAGCCAGACATCTTGGTCCATTTTTAAATTGAGTTGTTTGTCTTTTTTAATCCTCACCTGAGGATTTTTGTCCATTGATTTTTTAGATAGAGTGGAAGGGAGGGAGGGGGGGAGAGAGAGAGAAACATCGATGCGAGAACAATACATCCATTGGTTGCCTTCTGCACGACCCTGACCAGGGCTGGGATTGAACCTGCAAACGGGTACATGCCCTTGACCCAGAATCGAACCCGAGAGCCTTCAGTCCAAGGGCTGATGCTCTGACCACTGAGAAAACCAGCCAGGGCATAAATTGGGTTATTTGTCTTTTTTTGTCCTTGAGATGTAGTGTTGTTTTTTAAAAAAAGAATCTTTATTATGTTGAGGAAGTTTTTTTCTACTC